AGGAAGCCATATTAAACTATTCCAGTGACTTCCCCATTAAATTGATATTGCTATGTTTACATTGCTGGATCCTCTCTGTTTCTGCTGAATTAAAAATAATTACATTTTTTTTCTAATTCATATAACACTGATTTTTAAATATTCACTATCTCTATTCTCAAAGAGGGAATAAAAATCATATACTTGTATTGGAATATCACTTTTAATTAGGTCAAACCTAATCCTTTATGTGAATAGGTAGCTAGCATATGGTACAGCCAATTGTGGGCTCTGTTGCTGGGTTATCTGGATTTGAATGCTAGCTCTGCTACTATAGTCTTATAAAATGAGTGCCTCAGTTTCCTGGGGAGGGGAGGATGACGAATTCTGTAATTCAATTATTTACATTTAGAATAGTGTTTAGAATGAAGCTAGTACTATGTAAGAATTAGCACTCATTTTTATTCATAATCACCATGACAGGTAAGCATTGGGTAGGTTTTAACTGGTCCCAGTAAATAGAAAAAAAAATTCAACAGATGTGGTTAAGAGAGGAATCCACATTCAGATGTTCCCTGACCCCATACTGATCTCACAGGCTCCATCTGTCTCATGTGGCATACTGCCCTCACAGGCTCCATCTGTCTCATGTGGCATCTCTCTTGTTCCAGGAGTATCCAACAGTCTGATGGAGCTCAAAATACCTAACTGGTATCTGTCTGCTTTCCTCATTTTTCTTTTTTAAGAGCCAAAGTCTTACGAAAACTATAATTCCTGCAAGGCACTCAAGAATGACTTCAGTGTCAGGTATCCACAGGCTTGAGGCAACAGAAAGGTACCAGATATTTATACCTAGGGAGCCAGGGCTGCTACACTGGCAAATTCCGGGGTGGAGCCCCAGCAGATTCCAAATAGGATCACCTGGTGTAGGCAGAATATGGGGTACAAATTGGTCCTCTGAAGTCCCTACAGATCTGATGCCTCTTAGAAGGCAGGACTAGTGGGGGAATTGGGGATGGGAAGGGAAGGAAACTGGAATGAGCAACCAAGCAATTATAAAGGTCCTTCTTACTGAAATAGCAGGACTAGTGGGGGAATTGGGGGAGGGGAGGGGGTGGGAAGGGAAGGAAACTGGAATGAGCAACCAAGCAATTATAAAGGTCCTTCTTACTGAAATGGACAGGGTCCTGGAGGCCCCTGCTGTATCAAGCATTTAACTCTCTATTTTCTGGATTACAGATAAGTCAGTTTCTGGAGACATGTTGTGATGGCTGGGGAGCACCCAGGAAACTTAAGGCAAAGTTTATTCACCAACCAGCAAAGAAGTATTTAGATCAATTTTTAACAATCAATAGAGCTGTACTGGTACACAGTCCTGGTTTGGAGGGTCAAAGGAATGAGGCTAAAATCCAACTAACTTTGTACTATATCATGGTTAACTTAAGTCTATTTTACAACAGTTTTACAACTGCTTGGTTGTAAACTGCTGGCTACAAGCAGAACTCAGCAAATTGTAGGTGTATATAATATAACTAGAAACACATAGAACCACTGAAGAAGAATCTGGTGTATCCCCAAACTTATAACAAATTAGTAGTTAGTAACATGACTTTGTAGAATAACTACATACATTATATTCACATACCATATTGTAGAAGGAAGAGAATTCCTCAGGCCATTTTATTATTTCTGGAATGTCAAAGTGTCCAAATATGTCCTTACAAGCTTACTCACCTGCCACTCTCTCATCTGTTTCCCTGTTACCATCATCTGAATATCTTGCAAAGTCTAAAGAATCAAGGGTACTGATGCTCCCAGCTCGATCTATAATAAAGAAAAAATAAAAGGATTAAATAAACAAAATTTTATTTGATTGTCAAAATAAGGAATTGGAATTCAAATACCTACGATTATTTCCATTTGATAAAACATGATTCTAAGATCTAGGAATTCTATTAAAACAAAAAATGTAAGGTAAAAATGTTCACACCAATTAAACTACTTTAAAATAACCAAGTTTCCATTTCTAAATCTCTGGCCAAGCCCTGAAAAATGCACACACAAGGAATATTGCAAGCAGCCTAGCTAAAGACAAAAAAACAGAACAGAAATTTGAGCTGTTACCTGAGAGTTTGCAGATTGAATCCGAACAAGATAACTGCCTACTAAAAAAATAAAACAACACTCTGAAAAAATAGTAGAATCCAGTCTTTTTTTTTTCCTTTTTGTCTTTTTTTCATGTCCGGCAACGGATCGCAACCCTCAGTGTCGCGCCCATACCGGACCGGGACCGGTGTTGCTCCCACACCTCGCTCAGCCAGTGAGCGGGAACCGGTCTGTATGTGGGATCCGAACCCTCGTTGGGAGCGCCACCGCACTCCCAAGCGGCGCACTGTAGCAGTGCGCCACCAGGCCAGCCCTAGAATCCAGTCTTTACAACCTAACACAAACATTGTCCACTATACAGTCCAAAATTAGTTTTACACAAGAACCAGTAAAATGTGATCCAGTCAATCTCAAGAAAAAACACAATCAACCAGGACCAACTCCAAGATAATCCAGGTATTGGCATCAGTAGATAAATATTTTACAAAAAGTATTATAACTATGCTCAGTGAAGGAATATACATATACAATGAATGAACGGAGAGGAAATCTTAAGCAGAAAAACATAGAATATAAAAAATACCAATAGAAATTCTAGAACTGAAAAATATATATCTGAAATTTAAAAATTCACTGTAGTATTTAATAACAAAATTTAGATGACAAGAGCCAGTGACCTTAAAGATAGATGAATAGAAATTATTCAATCTGAAGAACAGAGAGGAAAAAAGATTGAAGAAAAAATTAACAGAGCCTCAGAAACCTGTGGGATAATAACAAAAGATCTAACATATGTAGAATTAAAGTCAACAACAGATGAGGTAAGAGGTGGGCCAAGTACAGATTAAAGAAGGTCAGAGAACATCAAGGAGGATAAAATAAAGAGAACAGAAACTTAGGCACATCATAATCAAATTGCTGAAAACCAAAAATGAAGAAAAACATATTAAAAGCAGACAGAGAAAAAAAATACATTCACATAGGGGAACAATGATTTGAATCTCTGCTGATTTCTCATAAAGAAATATGAAACCAAAGGCATCCAGATTGAAATGGAAGAAGTAAAACTGTTTCCATTCATAGTTGATATGATTTTGTATGTTAGAAACTCTAAGGAATCCACTAAAAAACCATTAGACCTAATAAATGAATTTTTCAATGTTACAAAACACAAGACCAATACACAAAAACCAATCAGATTTTTACACATTAGCAATGAACAAACTTTGTGTGTGTGTGTGTGTGACCGGTAAGGGGATCGTAACCCTTGGCTTGGTGTCGCCCGCACCGCGCTCAGCCAGTGAGAGCACCACCCATCCCCATATAGGATCTGAACCCGCGGCGGGAGCGCCGCAGTGCTCCCAGCGTTGCACTCTCCCGAGTGAGCCATGGGGTCGGCCCTAGCAATGAACAATCTAAAAATAAAATAAAAATAATAATCTCATTTCTAATAATATAAAAAGAATAAAAACTTATACAGTGAAAAAAACAAAACGTTGTTGAAAGAAATTTAAGATGATCTGGATAAATGGAAAGACATCCCAAACTTGTGGGTCAGAAGATCCATGCCCCAATGACAATACTCCACCATTAATCTTTGGATTCAATGCAATTCCTATCAAAAATCCCAGCTAGCTGGCTTTCTTTTCTTTCTTTCGTCTTCATTTTTCCCCCCCAGAAATTGAGAACTATTCTAAAATTCATATGGAAACAAAAAAGTCTCAGAATAGCC